TAATTTGGTAGTTACCACATAGGGAGTTTCTTCTCATTAGCTATGAAATCATAAATCAAGCCAGACTAGGCTATTTATTTAGCAAATAGGAGCTTAATTAACCTATCCTTACAAATAGTACCACCTAAACTTCTTGAAGACGCACAGGCTTCAGTAGGTGCGTAGCGTGGGTTCGCACGCTTTTTTCTCAAGCACGAATGGGAGTTTATAAATAAAATTCATAAGAAGAGTGAATAGTCTCCTACCCCTCGCCCTAGAATTCTGTTTTACGGGTGTTATTAGTTAAGTTATGTTTTAGTTTATTTGTTCATTTAGTATGGTTTAATATATAATAGTTTTGTAAGTATATTTATCTAACGTTGGCGGTATTTCACTAAACTAGATACTACAAATTAAGTTAACCTTTAAGTTAAATAGTAAACTAGAAACTGATATAAACTAAAAATAATAAAACTAAAGGAAACCACAGGGTGTATCTAAGTTGGGCGACCAACTTTATTGTCGACGTGTCAGTTCTACCGTCGCATACCGAAGATGTCTACTGTAGGTGGCACAGTCTGGTGGACGCTGAACGGTGACATGCACATGGATTGCTTTATATAGTGAGAGCAGACTTGCGCGGCATCTGCCGCTCCATCTCTTCCCGCATCCAAATGGGCCCGGTGGCAAGGCAACTTCAAGACGACCAGAGGCGGTCTCGGTTGACGTGGTTGAAAAACACAAGCAGACCGTCTGTGTGGGCCACAGACAGTGAACGACTTTTTTTAAATAAAACAGAGGGCAGCGGTTTGAATCACGGCTGAATGTGAGGAGAGGTATGTAGAGGGCACGTCCAAAAGGAGTCATTTAAGCCTGCGTTTCAGTCCACCTGTCAGTTGCTCCACACGACAGTTCGAGCGTCGATTTCGACGATATCCACCACGAGCTTCAGCAAACTGAAGGCAGACGCGGTGACTGTAGCTGGATTATAGTGAACACAGAGTCGCCGGATCTACCCCACTCTCTGACCACTCCCGCACCGGGAACCGGTTGTAAAGACGGTCAAGAAGGCTGGAAATATGGAAGGGCTCAGACGGCTGGCGCGACCAACACGCGTACCAACAGCATGTCTTGCTAGGTATGCTCCCGTTAGGGAGCGCCATAAAGGCCACATTAAGAAGGAGCCATTAAAGCTGATTCTCAGTTCGCAGACGGCCACACCACACAATAAGACTGACTGGACCGACTGCGGTGTCTCAGTTATCCAGTCAGTCGACAACCATCCAAGCCACGGCTTTTAGCGCACCGCGATAGATTCAAGCGCATCGGATTCATTATACTGAGAAAAGAAACGCGCCGAGGGTCAACCTAACTCTCTTCCCCACCGCCAGCAACAGGCACGCACCGGGACACATACGCTGCACTCACTGATCTGCCCTGATAACAGAGAAAATTGCATTCAACTCTTTGTTGCCTAGGAGCTCCAATATAGTTTCCATGCTGACCACTAACATAAGGCGACGATGGAGCTGAAGGAGACTGACGAGGTGATTTCTGTTTTATTCGCCCTTTTCAAGCAATACTATTAATAAAAATAACATTGAATACTACTTTGCAGGCACTATCGGAATAAATAGATCGAAGAAACGGTAAAAAAAAACGTTGGGTGGTAGTGCTGCTTTAGCCGGGTTTTGGGCAGCAAGAAGTCGCCCTAACTTTTGGATTGTTCAAGAGGAAAAAACCTTGTCGCGAAGAATGTCCCCGGCCAGATGGATACAAATCGTTGGCTACGAGAGTTGTAAATTGAGAAGAGGAAGATATGATTGCTAGGACAACACTTTTATTCGCCTGACGTTTCCACATCCGTCGCAGATTCTTCATCAGCGACATGAGCAGAAAATATTAACAGAAACGGTTGGTACAGGCATGGGAAGTTGCATTATTTAAAGCACGGAGTCATTACTACACACGCATGACAAATACTGAAAATTAACGGCAATTGTCCTCTGGTGTGTGGATTACTTCATGGTCGCCATACGGGCCGTGACCTGCTGAACTTGCATCACGCGTGGTGAAATTGGACGTAATGATTGCTCGGCCATCTGTTTCCCCGTTGTTTGCGTAAGGCGACGCGGTGCCTCGCTAGTTCCCCAAGAAGCCACCTGCTTTGGCCAAATTGAGCCCCAGCACCGAATATACATTAGGCAGGTCGTGCGCTTGTTTATGGGCTGGGGGCCCGTGAACCTCGACTCAAGTAACTCTGGGCTCAAACGAGTATCACCACTTGCGAGAATTTCGACCTCATCAAATTTGATTGTATGACCGGGTCTCGTCGTATGAGCGGCTCATTCGCCACGTCATATGCCAGGATACTCCAAACAGAATGTTTCAAATGCCAAATTTTTTAATACTGCTAAGGCGTTTGTAAGCAGCGGATATTTCAAAATGTGCCTTAGAAATTGCTTCACGCCTTTTATATAAACTAACATACCATGTCCGAAAAGTCCCTGCATATTACTTGTAAGTGGTCTAACGAGCCAAAGGATTCATTAAACGTGAACGAAAATGTTCAGCTTGATCTGATTTTTTGGATTTTTTACATGCAATATGTTTTAATTTACGCTTTAAATTTTATGGCAGAATGTATGTTTGTCAGATTAGGGGCGGGGAATGATTTGTGCATTCGGGATGTTATGCCGGTCAGACTAAAACGGATACTTTAGCCACTACCATATGATATCAGAGGGTAAATATTCTCGGAAAGAGTGGGAACATGGCCAGGAGGGAGAAATGGCTACAGGAAGTCTCAATAAACAGCAGGACAGTGTGCGAGGGAGCGGGGAGGCTAGGCTTGCGTGCGCCTATTAATTTAGTCAGAATACGCACAAGCTCGTTGGCAGAATGTTCCTATTAGGTTTCCTCTGGTTGATCACGCGGGAATGACCCTGAAGTCATGATGTCTGGACATGCAGGCCGGTCTTGGTGTCTGCCTGTCCTACACTGAGCACGTGAGCGGGGACGATTAAGATGGATACGCAAAAGAAAGTCTCTAGAGTGATGCACACTTAATTACGTAAGGAAGTGGGGAATCGGCTCAAAAGGCCAACGTCTCCATGGCCATAATTTTAGACGATATTTACTTACCACAAACTATAGCAACAGAAGTGGGTAAGAATCGTTAACGAATGTGGTCTATTGGTAATTAATGCTTTGCTTACCTCTTAACTTTAGTTTTGGAGCAGCCGCCTTTTAGGCAATAGGTGTGTGTTTGACCATCGGTTTCGATTAAGTCCATCAAGTGCAGGAACACGTTGGTACAGAAAGGGACGGTCTCAGGGGGTAGCTTTAAAGGTGATAGCGAACGTTGTTAGCGCCAATCGCACTCTTCACCTTCATCCGGAGTCTCGAAGACTAAACGGGTTCCGGCTTAGGTTGCTTTCTCCAATGCAAGCCGAAACACCGCCTAACTTGGTCTTAAGTGACAGTAGTCTTTTGCGCTGATACTAATGTACTATCTATCCCCCCCAACCTTACTAGTTGTGAAGACAGGCCCAAGGAAGCCGAGACTGATACGGTTACAACTGTTTCTAATACTACTGGCTATCAATGTAGCCGAGTCTTAGTTGTACATATACCATTTCTGACGCTAAAAGTTGTCAGAAGTGACGCTGGGGCTCATACCACCTTTGTTCCCATCAAGGAGTGAGAAGTCTGGGTTTATGCTATTTCGAGTAAATACATGTTTGAGGCCCTCGGCACATTAGGACTTGCCTTGGTTTCCACCCTCTCAACTCTATCCACCCAGGCTGTGTCCGTTTCGAATAGGAGCTGGACTACGAAGGATAGGATACTGCTGCTATAAGTACTTGCCTATGCTTAACTGCTAATTCTAGTAACCATGGTAACTAAGACCAGTAACTAGTATATTATGATATAGCCTGTGTTTGCCTGTAGGAAGCCGGCACCCAGTATGCACTCACAATCTGTATGGGGCAAAGCGGATTAATAGTTTATGAGTTAAAGCAAAGCGTCATTAACTAGTAGCACAAGTTCTGCCATACTTTTATGCTTCATGTAGTGCCTTTTGCTATGTATAGGCTGTCTGAGGGAGTACTACAACGCCTAGCTTGCGATAGACTGAGCATCTTGAAGACGGTAATCAATGCAAAATTTAATGGCACCATAAATTTCTCGAGA